CCGCGCCGACGCAGCGCTTGCTTGGACCGGTACAAACCGACTTGATTCAATGAGTCGACGAATGGCGTAGGCGCTGGCGGTCGCAGTCGCTATTGCGTTCTTTACGGGCGTGCTAGCCTACCGCCGCACGGAAGAGGAGCGCTTCGAGTACGAGCGCGAGCGGCGCCGCGAGATGTGGTAGCGGCTGCGACAATAGGGCATGTGATCAGCGCCATGTAGGGAGCTCGACAACTTTCCCGAAGGCGAGAAGGAAGAGATGGTCCAGCTCTACGCCGCCAAAGGCATGTCCATCCCGGACGCGACCGCGGTCATCGATCTCATGTCGAAATACGAACACTTCTTCGTCGACATTATGATGATCGAGGAGCTGAGTCTCTTGCCGCCTAGCACCGTCATTAGCTCGCGCTTCGTCGGTGCGTCCTCATGATGCTGATTGTACGTGTCGTCTAAAGCGCGTGTAGGGCTGATGACGTGCGCGGGTGGCCTCGTCCTGGGCCTCGTTCCGCTCTTGCTGTTGCACGCGAGCCACTCTCTCGTCCATGTGCACCAAGCTCTCTCTGCGTGGGGCTTGATGACGACCCTCGTGGCGACGAGCGCGGCACTGCTACGTGTCTACACGGTAGTTGACACTTGCGTCTTGATGGTCTTTTGTAATGGGAAAACTGTAGTTTACGGGCGCCGAGCACACCAAGACGTACGCATGCGGACGGCTCACGGTGCAATTGCCCTACGCGATCGAGACCTTTGGAGGTACCTTTGCTGCCATGGGCGGGGCGGCCTGCGTGGCCGCAGTCATCTGCCGCCTAACGTCATAATGCATCTATCGCCTGAACTGTTGGTTGGGATGATGCCGGTGCGACCCGCGACTCGAATGGAGCCTGTAGTCTTCTCTGAAAGGCCTTTCATCTCTTGTTTCATGTATAAAGAAGAAATGTGCCAAAAACCCTTCATATTTACTCGAGTTAGTCGACTGCAACTAGAGGGGATGGCGGCCATCTTCTGGAGTAGGGTGCAGAAGTTGGCGTTGTACTTGATGTGAGATGTCGTCGACTGGTCGACGACATTATGCGAGGAAAGTCCGAATGCGGTACGCAAGGAACTTGTGCGTGTTGGCCGGGACCAACTTCTTCGAGCGCAGTCCTTGAAGGTCGATCAGCAAATGAGCGATGGTGGTCTCGAGCGCAGCCTTGCGCGCAAGGACCTCGGGCGACTGGATGGAGAGGATACGCTCCAGCATCGCTTGCCCGTGGTCGACCCAGATGGACTCGGCGAGGGCGATGTGGCTGTCGATCGCGCGAAGGCCCGCAACGGACACAGAGCCAAACTCTCGTTGTTGGAGGTAGCTCTGGCGCTCGTGAACAAAAACGACCCACGGCGCGCAGCTGAACTGCTCGGCCAAGGCGTTGGTGATCGCACTGCGACGGGTGCTGTCGGCGGCAGAGACTGGAGTGACAGGACCACCGAGGCGATCGTCGTCGTCGTCGTCGGAAGCACCGCGGCCAGAACCGCCACCACGACCGAGAGCACCACCGCGGCCAAGAGCACCACCCGAACCACCACCACGTCCGAGACCGAGAGCCCCAGCAGGAGGCTCGACGCGTGCGGGAGCCGACGGAGGAGCGGGAGGAAGCTCGTCGGCGTCGGAATCGTCGTCCGCGCCAATCTCGGAGCGTGGGCTGATCGTCATGTAAATCTTGCCCTTGAGGCACTGCTCAAGAAGAGCGTCGTTGGCGGCGCCATCATGACTGGAAGAACGCTCTGCTGCGCTGCACGCGACCAAGCGAAACGACCTTCGGCGCGCGACACGGAACAACCTTGGCGCCGACGAGGTCCCCGGCCAACCGAGCGGCCTGGACATCGTGGTCGCGGCTGCGATGTAGAGCAGCGATCTCATTTCGGCGGTCTTGAGCAGCGCGGGCAGTCGCAGCCGCCTTGTCGCGTCCTGCCTTCTCGACTGCCTCGAGCTGCTCTTGCATCGCTGTCGCGGAGGTCGTGAGCTGTTGCTTGGGAAACGACTCGGGGCTTGTCAACGTT